CAGCCTGCTTGTCTACTTTTTAAAGGATTAAACATATCTTAGAGATTGATCTATCAGAGACTATTAGCCATCAATGTGGATTTGGGAAAAGTTGTTTTTTTTACGGACTATTACTCCAAGTTATCCTGAAGCTGACATTGCCACTATTGTAATTATTCTTATGATTTTTTAACTGCTTCTTTGAGTACAAAGGATGGCCTAAAATATATATTTCATAAATAGATAAAGTCAGTTGCGCACATGAACCATTTGATCTAGCCCTTGAGACAGTCGTTGCCACTGTTTTGTACAGACTGCATATCTTCAAATCTTTGTTGGCTTTCAGAGTAGAGAATAATCAGGGAGTTTCTAAAAATCAGTTTGGTTTAAATCAAATCCGCCATGTTCGCTTCCCTTAAGCCATTGCAAAGAGTAGCTGGTGTGCCACAAACTGATAGAAGAAACTGATTCCCAAGGGGATGGGTTTCTGACCATTTCAGTCCTTAATATATTTTCTCCCATGTGAGGACATTAACAAAGGCCTTGGTTGCTTTTCCCAACCTGGTGCACACCAGATACTTGGGGCTTCAGTTTCCATTGGCCCCACTCAGCATGACCAATAGTCAACAAGGCTGACAGCTGTAACCCAAAACATCTGGAGCATCTTGACGAAAGCTTTGTACATAATTCCTTGTGCAGAGTGTGTCTCAGTCCCAGACGGCTTTTCAGAGGACTGATTCCAGTTTGAAGAGACTGGATGCCATGTCCCCTTGTCTAACTGCTTGTAAGAAAATAGTCGTTTTGAAGGATTCTGCAAGTTGTGGTCCAGAAAAGTTACTTTTGCAAACTCCAGTCTCTGCTTGAGTCCCATTGATTTCAGATTAAACTAAACAGATAACATAGTCTGGATTCTAGATTACGTCAGTAATTTTTCATTCCTCCCCCCCAAAAAGTGGGGCATGGGTAACAATTTTCTACATTGTTTTACAGGGTTCTGTGACTAATACTGGGAATCCATCCCAGTGTGGTATAGTGGATAGAGTGACAGACTAGAATCCGGAAAACAAGGTTTGAATGCACAGTTGGCCATGGAAACTTGCTGGGTGAGTGGAACTGGTAAAACCACTCCCTAAATATCTCACCTTGGAAACCCTGTTAGGGTCACTGTAAGTTCACAAAATTGAAGGCTAGCAAATTGAAAAACCAACGAAATTATTATAGTGTGGTTTTCATAAGCAGTTATCTAGGAATGAGTTTTGTTCAGATTAACATGCTTCAGCTTGCACTCTCAATATGAATCCTATCATTGGATTGTTATGCAGAGTGGCTTAGATGCCACAATATCATAACATATTCCAGTCTGCTCTACATATTTGGCTTTTTACAGTTTTCATTTAGTTTTACACCTGTCATAGAACCATGAAGTTGGAAGGGGCCTACAAGGCCATTGGGTCCAACCCCTTGCTCAGTGCAGGAATACAAATCAAAGTATACCTGCCAGGTGGTTGTCTAAATTTCTCTTGAATGCCTGCAGTGTTGGAGCACTCACCACCTCCAGGGGCAATTGGTTCCATCGCCACCCTGATCTATACTTACAGCAACCCATATTACAGGTTTTTTACAGCTTAGGTAAAGGAGAAATGTAGAGGGTGTTAAGTCAATAATAAGAACTGCACTGAAGCTTAACTCCAGCACCTGCAACCTTTACTAAAAGAAGCAGCTGTTTTCCCGTTCTGTTCTTCCTACAACATGGGACCTACTTTTGCCTACTTTTGGGTTTCCAGATTGAGGCAGTTTTCAGAGCAAGCAACCCTAGAAGAGGACAATGATTGTGTTTATTTGCTGGCTGGCTGGTTGGTTGAGTGTCTGAGGTGGCCTTAAAGCCAGACCACTCATCTCTACCCATTCCCCTTCCTTGGACCAATTGCGAAAATGTGTGGTGTGCTTCTACAGCACTGACCCACCAAAAAGCCAGGGGCAAGGAATATCAAATTGGGGGGGGGGGAGAGAACCATTTGGTAGATGCAGATAGTCCCATTGTGTCATTTAGAACAAGGCAGAGGGTGTGGAGCAACACCATCGTGACTTGTGGGCCTTTTTTTGTGACACAAAGCAGTCCCTCTTTAGACAGTCAGTGCCTGTGTGGTAAACTCACCAGCAAACAACTTACTTGGGACTAAGCCTTAGTTAGCCCGTGGGGCTTGTTTTCTGGATCAGGCTTTGTTAATTAAGGTTCCTTCTCATCAGGTAACCATACCTAATCAACTTTGGCAGTGAGGCAGGAAGCTGCTTCTAAGCATTCGACTCTTGGCACCTACTCAGAGAGGTAAGATACTATGTGAAGTAGAATATACAGTCTGTGGGTGTTACAGCACAACTGTATTGTGTTCTGTCAGGGATAAGAAAACAAGGGAAGAGCAGCCATTTGTGCACCATCAAAAAAAGGACAAAAGAAGGCTGAGGTGGCCATAATTAGTATATGGTAGACGGGTATGTGGAGGTAGCTGGAGAGCTCAGTGGCTTAGATATCTGGCTGTGGAGCCAGGAGTTGGGGGTTCAATTCCCCACTGTGCCTCCTGGAAGAATAGCCAGCCCGTGTGGCCTTGGGCAAGCTGCACAATCCCAGGACACCCTCAGAAGAAGGATTAATGTAAGTCAGATTTGACTTGACAGACCATGATGATTAGACTGACAGGTATAGGTGTACCCGTGTGGCCTTGGGCAAGCTGTTAGCTAGAAATAATTACTACAATTTAGCTATATATTCAAGGAGTCTAACATAGTGGGGAAGACTGCAACTAGGTGTCATGTGTTCTGTTCAGTAACTTCAGGGTGCTGCGTTCTTTCACTTCTTATCACTCTTTGTCATTTGAACGGGCGTGAAACCATCCTTCCAGTTCTGCTCTCCTCTGTCAGGGAGGACAGGTCAGTTGGCCGTCCCACGTAAGGCCACGGAAGCACTGGAATCCATTGCTAACTGGTTGGGTTAGAAGCCCCAGATCTAGGCACCGCCAGGGAATCCCTGTGATGGAATCACATAGGAAGAAAATTAGAATTAGAGACACAGTTGTCTCTCTGTGTGTAGACATAAACAGCCAGTCTTCACAATTAGTAAAATGAAGTTGTTGTGAGCTTAAATAATATATCTTACAGGAGCAGATGAACATAGAGGTGCTGCTGATTAAGTCTTGGCAGTTTGTTTGTTTTATTGTTTATATCTGAACTTGGAGAAAAATTCAACACATCAAACAGTCAAGTAGGAAGTGGTTCAGACCTTTAAAAAGAAGTGTGCCACGTGTATTGTATTATACAAAATGTGCATATTGAGCTGGTATCAGAGCACGGTGGGCTTAACTAGCAGAGCTGGTTCGGGCCTATGACATGGGAAGGCTTCATTCATTTTTGTGTGTTGCCAAACCAAGTTTTCCACTGTCATACCTTTGAATTCATTAGTTTAGAACTGCTTTTAATTTGGTGTTTCCCTTGAGAGCCATTATATTTTTCTACTGTCAGCCTGATGTTGAAGAGCAAAAAGGAAAGCGGCAGATGTGGCATTTTCATCTATTTTCTATCATACTTGAAAATGGCATTAACTGCTTTGCACAGAGAAGCGCCCTGCTTTTTTTTTAAAAAAAAAAATCTATTTGCATGTATTAAGCTTTACATTAAAGTTGGTTTCAAAGATTGCTGGGGTGTGCAGTTGAAAAACAAAGTTTTAAATCCTTCCATTTTTTGAAATAAAATTATGTCTGTGTTTGTGTGCCATTGTTTAATTATTTGTAGCCTACCAATTGAGAAAAGGGAGGGGGGAAATGCCTTGAACAATGTGTGATTGTTGTGACATGTGCATGTTGAGGCTTAGGCACACCTGTTTTTTAGACAAGAGCGGGGAAAATTAACACCAAAGTTAAAACATTTTAGAAGAGATTTGAAACTGTTCCTACGGTATAATATCCCTGCATGCCTAATGTGGCTATATATAGTTGACTGCCTCATTTCCTTTAATAGGCTACTTGAATAACATAATCATAGCTATAAGCATGGTGTAGGGTTGTAAGGTGTGTGAACCACTAATGCTTTCTGACGCTTTAAATGACTTCTTCATAAAATGTTCTTTAATAATGGTAAAGCTTTTAGCACTAGGTGTCGAAAATGAGTTGAATAGTAGCTTCTCCTCACCAGCGCCAAAGTATTATTTCCTCTTATGCTAAAGCATGTGTGTTATAAATAAATAGCTTTGAGGCCAAGGTTTTACAGCATTTTCCCATATTTGCGGTGAAATCAAAGGAGTGAGTTTTGCATGGTGCTTGCAAACAAACCCACCCCACATCTATGTCATTGACTAACATACAGAAGTCTAGGGTTTTTAAAAGACGTCTTTCTTTTCTGTTACTTCCACTACAAGAAGGAGACCTAAGCCCAATAGAAGAGTGCTCAGGAATTATGTGCTGAATGCTAGTTAGGTATGTTCTAATTTAGAGAGAGAAGCAATGCAAAACGTGCTGCTTATATTCAACCCATAACACTTGAAGCAGTGTACAATTTGATTATGCAGGTTATATAGCATAACCTGCATATGCTATATAGTGCCCCCTCCATAAGCTGGATACTTAATTTATTGATCTCGGAAGGATAGAAGGCTGAGTCCTTCTTGAGCCGGCAACCTGAACCTTTTGGGGTCGAACTCAGATAATGAACAGAGTTTTTACTGCAGTACTGCGATTTAACCACTGTGTCAACAAGGCATGCATTAATAGTTCCCCATATACTTCTTTAGAGAGCTTTACTGTGATGGAGTGTTGATCTGCTAATTACAGATGAGAAGATGTGTCTCTTTTCCTTCACCCACCCAAAAGTGTTCCTCAGTATTTGACCACTGTCCATTCTCACTATGAAATGAAATATAATTTCCCACCTATAGAAGGAGTGCACCACAGGTGTACCTGTTAAGTACCATATAGCGTGTTTTTTTCCTCCCACAACCAACCTGCTTTTTCTGTCTTCTCTCCTGCCTACACCAGGTTATTTGGCGTTACGGGAAACTGTGCTGCGTGCAGCAAACTCATCCCTGCTTTTGAGATGGTCATGAGAGCCAAGGACAATGTTTACCACCTGGACTGTTTTGCATGTCAACTTTGTAATCAGAGGTAAGAGGATTTCTTGGTTCCTTGTTGTATGCTGGCACCAACTCAGTGTTGCTCTAGATCAGAAGGAGAGCGGGCACTGCACTTTCCCATCCTGTGGGCACAACAGGTTTTGACTGACAAGGGTGCTAAATGTATTGAGCACAAGGTGTGTGAGAAACTGCTGCTTTGTCTGTGTCCCATGCATCTTTTACTCAGAAATGATGCTAAAGGTAATGGACATGAACCCCAGGAATCACACACATGGCAAGCAGTCCGTCCTGATCCCCACAGCAAGTGAAATATTTTTGCTACTATTTGAGAGGCAAACCCATCAAGCTGTGGTCAGCAGTGAGTGCAGTAAACATTGGTTGGGCCCAAGCAAGCAGGTAGCAAAAAAATGAAAACATATACCAGTAGGATTGATACACAAGATTACCTAGTCACTGGTCATAAGCCACTTCCCAGACAGAGGTTTTCCTTCATGGAAATAAAATAGCAGTATCTCCAGACTGACTCTCTATCCTCTTGTTATATGAACTTATGATCAAAGATGCCGGAGAACAAACCAAAGTTTAAATAATAATCCACACACCTGTGTCTCCACGAAAGTGATCAGTAAGCCCAAATTTTACTTCTGTTTTTAAAAAAAAGCCAAAGTTTCTCTTTTCACTATGTGCCTCTTGAGAGGTATAAAATATATTTTCACTTATTGACAATGACCTTGGTTGCAGTACCTCACTGATACAATACTATTGATGGGACATACCAATATGTCTGTAAACATATAAACATCCCTGGGAAACACAGAAGTTTTCTTTCTGTCATGACAGAACTTGGGCTAGTTCATAGAGCAACTGTGAGACATAAGATACCAGAAGTTGAGAACTACTGGGCTATGATACAGAGGTCACCAGATTGAGTCAGTTGTGTCTCAGTTTTCCTTTCCAACTAGACTTCTTTCCAACTATTTTTTTTTCTGCTCTTCATCTGTGCCCAGCATGCCTAGAAATATACTGAGTAATTTGCCCTTTGGATCAAATTATACATTAAGGATAGCACTTTGTTAGAAGATAAAATCACATTAGCATTAATTAGGCATGCGATTCAGAGGAATCTCTATGTCTCAATGATCAAACTTGCAAACAAAGCCCACATTTATCATCCAAAGACCAATCAAAACACTCATTAAACAAAACAAGCTAATTTGCAAACCACAGCAAATGTGAAGGTTTCATGTGGAGACAATGAAACATGCCACAAAAATTCAACAGTTAAAGCATTGTCTTTTCTAAATAGCCTCTATCTATTATGTATGGTTTGACCTCATATGAATATCAAATGTCACACTTCCTCTTACAGGAATAAATCTATTAAGTCTCTTCACCAAATTTCACACTTCTACGAATCCTCTGAATGGCATAGTTCTCAGAAGTTTAAACATCAAAAGACACATTAAATCACTATTTAGAGAGAAAATGTCATCATCATAATCTTAGAACTGAAAAGGACTCTATGGATCAAGTCCAGCCCTGTTTTGAAGGAAGCCTTCCAAAGGGAAGGAATAGGTAGATATAGGTAGATATTCTGAGGGGATTTTTAAAAAATTATGGATTAAAATATTCACACTAGAAGCAAACAGATCTGTTCCCCAGAGTGGGTAAAAAACAACAGGAAACAGCCTTGCTGTTCTGTGTTGTTCCATTGCTTTGTAGTAACTTCTTAGTTTTCAATGTATACTCGAGTGTCCCTCGTGCAGTGTGAATTGTGCAGCTGCTATAATTATAGCTTTCTACAATTGCATTCTAAAACAAAGCCAAATTGACCTTTTTCATCACGTTGTGCAGAAAATTAAAATATCAGACAAGTAATAACCACTGTTTAAACTATGTAATAATGCTAAGCAATTAGAAGTTACAGGGCCATTTACAGTTGCTATACATCAGCCTTGTTTTGGTGCAGAACTAAAGAGCCTGCATTCAAAATAAGGTCAGTCTTTACCAGTAGAACCCATTCAAGTAAGGAATAATTGAACACTCTTTTGAATTGAAACTCAAAAGCCTTTCCTCATTGCTTCTAACCACTGATCTGCTGTCATTATTAAAAGTACCTAATACGTTCTTGTTGTTCGCTTCATTTATTGCATGCTGTAATGGGGCTGCATATCTTTAGTGTTGGCTATGCACAATTAACACTTAGTTATTGTCTTGTCACTTCATCCCATAGAAGACAAACTTCTTTAATGTGAGAAGTCAGCTAATCTTTATCAGTCAAGCAAGACAGGTAATTTTGGCTATCAATACTGCAAAAAACAGTGGGCTTTTTCTCCACGTGAGAAGTGGGAGTGATGAGGATTTATTTTTAAAATCCTTTTTAAAAACCCTTTACAAAACAGAAATTTACAAAACCTTTCCTTTCTAAAACAGGAATTAAACATATACTTCTCCCTTGAATTACTTGGGTCTGAGCAGCACAGTTTTGATTCTACACAGATTTTTTTCAATAAATAAATATTTTAATAAATAAATAAATGTGTATATATACAGTGGTGCCTCGCTTAACAATTACCTCATTAAACGATGAATCTGCTTGACGATGAGGTTTTTGCGATCGCGTTTGCGATCACAAAACAATGTTTTAATGGGCAAAAATTCGCTTCCCGACGATCGGTTCCCTGCTTTGGGAACAGATGCTTCACATTACAACAATCAAAACAGCTGATGCCGGGTTTCAAAATGGCCGCCCACTGTGTAAAATGGCTCCCCGCTGCGCTTTAGGACGGATTTTTTGCTGCATGGGCATTGGAAAATGGCTGCCCTATGGAGGATCTTTGCTGGACACTGAGGTATTTAGCCCACTGGAGTGCATTGAGCGGTTTTCAATGCGTTTCAATGGGCTTTTTAATTTCGCTTGATGAGGACTTAGCTCTACAGCGATTTCGCTGGAACGGTTTATCCTCGTCAAGCGAGGCAATACTGTATAAATATCCTATAAATACTGTGCCCCTGGCTAACTAGAGCCAGGAGCATGAGTTCAGCATTGAAGGCATTGTAGTGATCGGCTTGCCGACAAACACAACTTCTTTAATTCAGTCTAGATCAGAAGGTTGTAAGGACCTTAAGGCTCATTACGCATGGTACTATATGGAACGATTTGTCAACCAGAGATGAGCACAAACCGCCAGTTCAGCCATGCCGATTCGGCTGATGGTCACACAGCTATCCCATGGTTCGACACCCTGTCCCCTCCAGCAGATGCCCACTCAGAGGCAGCACCCAGAGGAGGCAGGACAGGGAAGCCTGAGCACGGCCTCTAAGTGGGTGTCCGCCAGAGGGTGCAAGGTGCCACACTGAAGAACAACTAAACACCCAATGGTAAGACTGGCACGAACCACTGAACCAGGAATCCATGCCCATCTCTATCATCAACACTATGGAGGAGAACCTCAATAGAGAGAAATCTCTCTCTCTCTCTCTCTCTCTCTCTCTCTCTCTCTCTCTCTCAATAAACTGTGCTTTGCACTTTTGAGGGGGCCCAAGAATTGCACATGGATTTTGTACCACAGGAGAATCCGGCTCCCCACCCCCCACCCCATCTTGTTGAAAGGAGAAGTGTGGTAATCTAAATATTTACAAATATGTTGTTGTTGTGACTTATATACCAGCCCATAATGCTAGAGCATTTGCAAGCAATGTAATTGTCTATGATGTTAATATGGCTTCTGAGGGAAAATTAAATGTTACATTAAGTTGATGGTTGCCAGAATTTCAGAAATCTCTGTTAAAAACTGTATAGGCCACTCTCAGAGATCACAGGATAACAAAGGGTTTGCTTCACATGTAGGCCAGCATTTCGTTCTGCACATTTTAACATTTTCACTGAAGGCCAGTTTTTGAAAATGTCTTCCTTATGGTTTTTTTCTAAATTCAAAGCAATGTACAAATTCAGATAACAATAAGAAAACATGGTTTTCTCCCTCCCTTCCATATGAACCTTTCCATCCTTCATACCATCTTACATGAAAGGTTGGATAACTCTTATCAAATACAGTAGGTTTAGGCACCTTGCGGGAAGAGCCCTGATAATCTGGAAGAGCTTGAAGCCAAAGCATCTACCTCATCATTTGGACAGCCCTTTTTCCATCCCCAAAATTTCCCATCCATTCAACAGCTCTTGTTGGAATGGAAAGAAGCTGAAGTCGCATTTTCCTCTGTTTTGACCCAATTTCCCCATCATATCTGAAAGGTTATGTTGCCTTTAATATTGACTTCAGGTTGACCATGTCAGTGGCTTTGTAGGGAAAACAGGATGAAGAGGAGAGAAGAAAAAGATGTGTGACTGTTGTGAAGTCCACTGCCACTGCATTTTAACACAGAAGCGAAAAAAGATCATGTAGCCTGAAGAGTTTTTCCTTTTCCTTCAAATAATGTAACAAGTCTGTAAACTCTGTTCAGATCTGGAACTCAGAACAAACCTCTGGGCTCAGAATTGTTTAGTCCTGAGGCCCATAAATGTATTGGTTTGTTTGTTTTTGAAAAAATTATACCCCACCTTTCTCCTTAAAAGGACCCAAAGCCTAGTGTAGCTTTTAAGGAAATTTGTGGTGCTTATGCACATTAATGGGCACATACTAGCTCTTCCCCTCCATTGTCATACTGAGTATGGAAATGGACCTGTCTGAAGAGGGAGAGGCTGCCATATCTATATAGACTTTCCACATAACCCAAAAGTTCCCCATAAAATCAGGTTTTGGGCTCACCTGGAGAGACCACCCAGACAAAGCAGTATTACCTCAGGGAAACATACTTCTGTGTTCAGCTTCTGGGAGTGTGCAGTTTGCCCAAGACCACACAGGAGTTCTTCCCACAGGGAGACACAGTGGGGAATCAAACTCCCAAACTTTGACTCCACCACAAGATTCCTGAACCACTGAGGTACTCAGCAAACATGTTTTTAATAGAATAAGCAAAATATACAAATGCCTTTTTTTAAAAAAAAAAGGGTGCCAGTGGGAAAGAGAAAGAGGGGACTGCGAGGGATCCACCTTTGGGAGTGTGTGTGTTTCCTGTGAAATGGATTTGACCATAAATAACTTAAAAACATTCTCAGGCACATTGAATAATCTCCGTTTTCAGTCAAATATTGTAGTGTGTGGGCATTAATCCAAAGATGGGCGAGGGAGAAAGAAAAAGGAGGCCGGGTTTGGTGAGGGAAGGACAGTCCACAAATAAACAGCCCAATTTTCCTTTAGGAGCCAAGCTAATTCTTTTCAATCCACATTTTTATTACACTATTTTTCCCTCACTCTATTTAGTGAGCATGAGGATAAATTTCCAAAGCTACCCGGTTGGAAAATAAATGGGTTTGCTGTTTGTCTAGCATTCCAATCTTTACAAATGTAAATCAGTCCAACTGCTGCTCCATTTAAAACCTCACAACTTCACAAAACATTAAAGGCCTCTTTTCAATACACAATTTACTCTGTGACAATTCCCTCCGATTTCGGCTTCAAACATCATTAGAAACTGACTGGCTGATAAAAGGGGGGGGCTGCTATCAAGGGTTGGGGAGGTCATCGTGTGTAATTATTTGTACTTTTACTGGGTCAGCTGCATCAGACACTGCTATTTGAAGGTTAAATTGTTACAATTTAAGTACATATACAGCCTATTCCCATAGCTACTCTGTTGTTAAACCTACCGTAAACAACACACACATTTATTTCTGTTTCTAATTGTGTCCAAGATGTCACGGTTTGGAACATTATGCGACAAAAAAGAACATTGTACTCCATTACCAAATTAAACAATACTTTCTCAGCTAAAGCAGGCAATTAGCAGAGAGGGACTAGTTTTCATCTATCTGCATCATTGCTAAGAAGTTCATTTGGGTTACTCTCTTTGGTTTAATTGGAATGCTCCCTCTGGCTCCGCCCCAAATGTTTTTATAGAAGGGAGCATTCACCACAAACAGAATCTGAACACTCCTCCTCCCCCCCGTGCAAAATCATTCATTAGTGAAACTCTTCCGCTTTCCAAAGGACCCCTTGGTGTGTATGGGGGGCGGGGCAGCATTTCCCTCTTTCTCTTGGCTTCATTTATAGAGAACTCTCTTCTTTTAAAAGAAAAAAAAAAGGCATTATAGAATATGTTGTATTCACACCACACACTTCATGTGAAATTAGTTTGGCTGTGTATGAAAGATGATTCACACGACCCCTTTCAGGCCAAGAACATGGCTTGAGAGTTTGTGTGGTAAAGCAGTCAAACAGAGCTTTTGTGGTGGTATTGGGGTGTAAATCATCTGCTCTTGGTCTGCCTGCTAAAATGTCTAGGAGGACTTCCAAATTGGATGCAATCTGTACCTCACACAGGGAACTATTTAGATAAGTAATTACATACAGTATATGTCACCAGATTCATCACTAGCAATTCGGGTGCTTGAGGCTTCATTGGTTGAGCTCATCCCATGTAGGATTGGCATACACCAAAAGAGGAGCAGCTGTAAGTACTATATGCACTTGGGGAGGATTGACCTGAGCCCTTCCAACAGCCAACATTTTTGCACTTCTAAATTTGGATGCCCTGGGTCAAAGCCCCTGTTGCCAGACTCTAATTATAATCAGGTACCTATATCATACATGTCCTTCATTTACCCCCTTCTGTTCTCTGGAAATGTGTTGTCCTTTCCAAACTGGCTAGGAGAGTGAGCTACTTCAACTGAGACCCATTGGTAGCTGAGGCTTCCTGTGCAATTCTGAATTTCAGAAGAGCAGTGTTTCAAGCTTGGTGGGACACCTCCATGAGCCAAAAAAAAAAAAAAAAGCATCACCACCGCCTACCCTGGAGAGGTGATAGATAGGTAGGAAAGACGAAAGGATGGAGCCACACACTAATTCACATTATTCCCCTGGTAACATTAAAGGCATGGTGCCCAAAATACTCTTTATAGCTTACACATACAGAGTAACCTCAGGTGATAGTGGGACTATGTGGCACACTGCTTTGCCACTAAATAAGTACAGTGGTGCCTCGCTTAACTACGTTAATTCGTTCCAGCGAAATCGCTGTAGAGCAAAAACGTCAAATGAAATTTTAAAAAATGAAACTCATTGAAAACCGTTCAGTGCATTCCAATGGGCTGAATACCTGCTCGTCCAGCGAAGATCCTCCAAACGGCGGCCATTTTCGGTGCCTGTAAAGCGAGGAATCCATCCCAGAAAACAGCGGGGGGGCACTTTCTTCAGCCAGTGGCCATTTTGAAACCAGACGATCAGCTGTTTGCTGATCGTTGTAAAGCGAAAATCGGTTCCCGAAGCACAAACCGATCATCGCACAGCGAAAAAAACCCATTTAAAACATCATTTTGCGATTGCAAAAATGTCAACGTAAAGCGGATTCGTCGTAAAGCGGGGTAATCGTCCAGTGGGGCACGACTGTACACCCTCAATTACAGAAGGGTTCACAGTGCAGTGGTAAGGTACACTTCCAGTGCTGGTGTCATTGTCAATATAATTTTAGGTTCTAAAGTCAGTTCCAACTTATGGTGATCTGTAGGTATTTTTGTCTGTAGGTATTCAGAGATGATTTATCAGTCCTTTCTTCTGCAGGTGCTTTGGGATTGTATAGCTTGCCAAAGGCCACACACGTGGTAGGGCAGCTCCATCTATAAGCTACACATGCTCCAGCTGATTTTGGCTGGCCCTTCTTGTCAGAAGGCACAGTGGCGATTCAGACTCCCAACCAGGTGCTCTAATTCACTGAGCTACATTAGCCAGTGTCAGTGAGAAAGGACTCTGCAGAGGTCAAGCCAGGAAAGAGAGGAGGGAATGTTAAGACTCGGCATAGATATATGAAGCCCTTTAGGAAGCTTAGTTGAACAGGATGCATTCCTTCATTTCATCTTTTCATTGACAAAGACCAACCAATAGAGAAACATCAGTGAATTTCGCCAAGATCAACAGCAACCCATTTAACCTGATCTTTCCTTGGTACTTACTTGGTGCATCTGTCTAAAGAGGTTATGTGGGTTCCAACAGGACCGTACATGTTGGGCATTTCAGAGCGTGCAAAATGTAAGATATGTTCATTTTGTATAGGATCATTGGGTAACTCTGTGTGATTTGCCAGGTAAAGGTGATGGTTTTATTTTCTTTTGTGACACATGTGTAAGAGTCCATGAACAGTATTTTTAGAAAGATGTATATGTTGCATGTCATCAAGCTGCTTCCAACTTAGAGCAACCATAATAAGGCTTTTGAAGCATATGAGAAGTTCATGGAGGAGTCTGCTATTGCCACCCCCTGTGAATTTCCATGGCCAAGTGGGAATTTCAACTCACTTTTCCTGATTCCTAGTCTGATACTCTATCCATTACATCACATGGGGTATTCTCTTAGAAAGGTACATCAGTATCAGCTTATGATCAAATTTGGTGAAGATTCATCACCCCAAAAATTAAGGGTGGAACACCCACCCACCCATCCTGGTACAAGCCTTCTATGCTACATGTTAACTTCATATATAAAAAATGATGTACTGTTTTGAAAATGATGGTCCAGCCCATAATTTAAGGGTGTCTGTGGGAGAAGTTGAATCCACTGTTTTTTCCATTTACATTCTTCCTCTTTCTGTTTCCAGATTTTGCGTGGGAGACAAATTTTTCCTAAAGAACAACATGATTCTGTGCCAGACGGACTATGAGGAGGGTTTAATGAAAGAAGGTTATGCGCCCCAAGTTCGCTGATCTGATGCCTCCCTGCTAAGAATATTGAAGCACTACATTTTTATCTTTTCTGTTCTTCTGTTTTTTGTTCATCCTGTATATAAGAAATGATGGTGGAACCTACTGAATAGTGTAGTTATAGGGAGACAGGATGGTCATGTGGAATAAAAGGCAAACTGCAGATATATGTAATGAAAATTGCACCAGTTCACAGCTGAATGTTTATTAAAAGATAATGTATATACTGCTGAAAGGGGATTTTTATTTTATTTTATTTTATTTTGGCTTGCTGTTGGTTTTGGGTTTTTTTCCCCCCTTTTCTTTTTGTGTCATTTGGCATGAGATGCTTATTTTGGACTAATGTATATAATGTATTGTAATATTTGAAGCACAAATGTAATACAGTTTTATTGTGTTACCATTTGTGTTCACGTTTGCTTATTTGTATTGTTGCATTTAGTACAATCGGTGTCCAAACTTTATTGTATATTTATGCTTTCTTGTATCAGCTATTTTGAAAGAGCTGTATCTTTCTAGTAAAAACAAAAAAGAGCAATTAAGAGAGAGAGAAAAAAGAGAGAGAGAGAGAATTTTAAGAGCCAGTCCCATGCATTATTCTCCATTTTAAGAGCCTTGAAAAATGCTGTCGACACTTGAACTATTTGATTCAAAATGTTGAGTACGAACTAGCCAAAGTTAAGGATTTAGTTCCATTGACTTGTGGAGGATATATATTTAACTCTCCCATTGAAATTGATGGGATTTAGAAGTGCTTAACGTTTGACTGGATTATAATTCTAGCATGAGCTCAGAACTAAAGTTGCTGAGGTTCAGAGTCTTTTCAGCAGAATTCCAGCCTCCTCCTGCTGCTGCTGCTGCTTTTTTTGTCTTTTCTTTTCAAGGAACGATCCTGCTATTTTATTTCACACATTTTGTTGGAAAGTACTTCCCTGTCTTGCTACCAAATTTGGTGTTGCTGTTTTCAACTTTATGGGCAGTCATGGAGCAGACATTTAATTATTGAGGGGGGGCTATTGTGCTCTGTTATACTTCCCCCACAGGAAAAGAAAAGATATATTTGCTTGTTTCCGATAATGACTGGGAATGAGGAGCTGAGCCCCAATGCAACTCAGTGCCTTTGGGTGTCATGTAAAAACTTTTATATGTATATATATATTTCTGAAGTTATTTTAATGTAGCATAGTGATTTCTGCTCTTGTACAGAAATGTTATTTTAAAGAAATCAGTGTCTTTCCTAAACTTGATCTGCTCTGGGTCCAGCCTGCATAGGAGATTGGCTCCTTCCTTATGGTCATCCCTGTCCCTAACATTGACCAAGGATGCCCTCTTGAGGTGACCATCTGTATACCATCTTGAGACAATTGGGTCCTTGAGGGAGACATATCTTACAGCTTCTCCACAACTGTGGAAACTCTTTCATGCTGGAGACTTACGGCACAGTGCATAATTTTTCAGAAGCATTGTCCCGGCCTTTTCATTTCAGCTGCTGTTGTGGAAATTGGGAATTTACTTAACTCCCACAGAATGCTGAGGCTTCGGAGTCTGTTAACTTTTGTAGATGTGTTGGATCAAAACTTAACTGGCTATTGTAATTTGTTTGTTTCTTAATTTATTGTTATCCATTCCAAGTTGTTGGGGTGGGGCAGTCTTCAAATAAATAAAATCTAAGGATTGGATGGCAACATCTCAAGCTATTGCTTCTCAGATCTGCACCACCTTTCTGTAGGCAGTCAATTTTTAAGAAAAAGAATCATGTCCCGTCAAGTCAATTCTGACTTACGGCGACCCTTTTCAAGGTTTTCTAGTTAGAGAATAACTTAGAGGTGGCTTACCATTCCCTGCTTCTGGGGGCGTCCTGGGACTGCACAGCTTGCCGAAGGCCACACAGGCTGGCTCTTCTCGCAGGAGGCACAGTGGGGAATTGAACTGCGGCCAATACCTAAATCACTGAGCTATCCAGTCGTTTTTTCAAGTAGCCCAGTAAGCTCACAACCACCAGCATAAAGAGAAAAGCCAGCCACCCTCACCCGTTCTGCTTTGGCTGAGCTGGCAGACCAGATTTTGCGCTTCCATCTCTATCTGGCTAAGTGATGCATACTTTTTAGCCAGATTTGTGGTCTTTATATCTATGCTGTCTTATTTCAGGAAAACATTTTGAACTGCTTTTAATTAGCAAGTAACTCTGAAGTACTTCATAGAGGAGTCACCTTCTCTCACCTCTTGTTGCTAGAAGCATCAGATATTTGACTCAAGTTTTATACTCTGCATCTCAGCTACTATCCAGAAAGCGAGGGCATCGACACTCTCCAATGGTTTATCCTTTTGCCACATATATGTCCACCTTGTCCTACCAGGAAAATGATTCTTGGGAACATTGTGAGGAGATAGGTCAAGCAGAATACATTACAGTGGTGCCTCACTAGACAATGATAATCCATTCCACTGAAATCACTGTTTAGCAAAATCATCGTCTAGCGAAAAGCATTTCCCTATTGGAATGCATTGAAACCTGTTTAATGTGTTCCAATGGGGAAGAATCGTCGTTGTCTAGCGAAGATCGGCCATAGGAAAGCCGCTTTGCAAACCGCCGATCAGCTGTTTAAATAGCTGTCTTGCGAAGCTTAGGTCCCAAAAACACCCGTTGTGCGAGCGCGGAGGGAGCTGTCAAAATAGTTATCTAGCGAAAATTGGTTTGCGAAGCAGGGACCAAACATTGTCCAGTCAGTGAAATTCCCCCATAGGAATCACTGTTTTGCGAATCGCTATAGCAATCACAAAAAGTCAATGTCTAGCAAAAAAAAACTCATGCGAGGTAAGTGTCTAGCGAGGCACCACTGTAATGCTGAAACAGAGGGAAAGTTAAACAAGAAGATAAATGTTATATGTCATGGTTGAGCATACAATAACAAATACTGTATACTCCAGAGCAGAAATTACGGTCTTAGGCGACATAAAGACGATGGCTGGTAGCCATAAACCCTAAAATGTAACTTGTACGTGGCTCAACAGAGCCTCTTATAGGCCTGTCAGTGAGTTTTGTTTCTCCTGGTCTACAAGAAATGAGCCCTTTATTCATGAATGCATCGTCTGCATTCATCTCTTGACAGGTTTTCTTTCTGGCTTTTTTCCATTTTATTTACATTCTTCCTTGCTCCCCAATCAAGTGCCTCACAAAATACAAAATATTTGAAAGACAAGCAAGTAAAAAGATTTTACCATAGCAAAAAGCCATTAACTTACACCTACCATTTTTTTAAAAAAATTACAAAGTAAAAAGACACCCCTCTTTAAAGGCCTGAGGTAACGAGTCAGGCATTTGCTTTTGACTTCTTTTTTTAAAAAAAAAAATTACTCCACCTTCTCCTTAAAAAGGACACAAGATAGTTTACATCATTAAAAGATAATATTTAAAGCTAAAAGTTCTAATTATAGAGATACTAAAAAGGATCAAACAAATACCACCCTGAGAAATGGTAAACAAAAACAATACTAAAAACACATTCAAAGCATTGAGGCATAACAATCCATTACAAAATACAGTGGTGCCTCGCAAGACGAAAGTAATTCGTTCAGTGAGTAGTGCTGTCGCGAAATTTTCGTCTTGTGAAAAGCAGTCTTGCGGAAAAACAATCGTCTTGCGAAGCACGGCCATAGAAGAAGCTGTCTTGTGAGGCACCACAGCGATCGCAAAAAACATTCGTCTTGCGGGTTTTTCATCCTGCGAGATGTTCGTCTTGCGAGGCATCACTGTACCACTCAGGCAGGCAGTCACTGAGGGAAAGCTTCCCAGAAGAGCTTGCCTGATTATGGAAGGAGAGCAAAGATGGGGCCAGTCTGCCCTCCTGTGGGAGGGAGTTCCAAAGTCTAGAAGCAGCAACAGAGAAGGCCCTTTCTCATCACCAAACTCATCTGTGCTTTTAAGAAGGAAGGAGGTCGGACACCTGGACACCAAGCAGTATTGACTGTAAGGGGTCAGCTCTAGCCTGGAGCCATGTTCAGGGCCACTGTTTCTGCTTGAAGATCCAGGGAAACAGTACATTAATTGCCACGATCGGAGACTTAAGGAATAACTCATACGAGTTCTCAGTCGTGCTCCATATTTTTGACTATCTTGATGTGCTTGCCTCTTTCAAGGAAATACTAGTGATCCCCCAAAATCCACTTGCTGCAACACGTACACTTTTTTTTGTTCTTAAAAAAAGATTTTTTTAAAAAAAATCAACTGTGTTTGTGTGACTTCACCCAATCTGTTGACAGCAAAGGAAGATACTTTGTGGCACCTCCAGCTTGGAACAGGCAAAAATAGCTATCCATGGTCAAGCAGAAGGTGGGCTATTTTCATTCCTCAAATACCTTGCAAATATATACACAAGAATTTGCACATGCATTCATTTTTATATGGCCTGTATTGAGGCATTAAGGTAATCCATTTGCTGCCAGATACATTTGATGGCCCTCTGCAAACAACTGTGGTTGAATGAGAGGTTCTCCCATCATTGCCTTTAGTGTAATTAATACTTCAGATGAGCTGTATGTAATATTCATTTAGTGTTACGTTCCAGTCTCTTATCTTCCTGCTTCTTTGTTCCCAGCCCACCAGTATACCAGAGCAAGTGCCTACTCTAAAGCAGAGAGAAATTGAATCTTAAGTAAAAATCCGCGTTGTAAGATCAACCATCTCAATTATGATCTGTTTGTTCACATCAATATCTAAATCCACTGAAAGATTTGGGGAAACAGTTGGATCCAGACTTCTTGAGCAGTTCACCCTAACAAATCTACTGCTCCTACAGGCACAATTGTTGCTTATGCCTAAGAAAGCACATTAGCTTTTAAGCAAATCTCAAGATTCTTCTTTGTTTTGCTGAAACACTAATTTAGCATCTGCTCTAGAACTCACCGAAATCACTGACCACAAGAGTCTCTCACAGGATTGTCTATCACAGCATTCTGTACCCATTGACTTGCTGGCCCACAAACTCCACTCATGTGATATTTTGAAAGGTTGTAAACCAGCTGCAAACTCAAATATCTCTTTGTTCTTGCATCTTATTTCGTTGCTTTCCATGGGTAGAAACTCAGGCCATCGTAAACAGGCCCAGATTGTCAAAGAGGCTAACAACTCTGTGGCTGAAAGCTTCTGAGGCCACCACCTTCCATTTTAAGTCATTCCCCCCGCCAGTTTGGGGGATATGGTACACCAATGGGAGGATGATAATATCCCCCAGACCATCAGAATTTGCCAAAGACACAGCATTTTCACAATGTTGCCGCAGTATACTAATTTTTCCTTTTAACTTTCTTTTTCAATTCAGTTTTTCTCAGCAGCCTGGCCTTGGGTTCATGATTTTCATAATAAAGTGCCAGTATTGATTAAGATGCCAGAAGTGAAGGGAGAGGGGGAGGAACCATATGAATGCATGAGTTATGTATATGCTTTGATCTATACAACAACAACAAAAAAACCCAAGTTGTTAGCAGTCCATTGAGACCCTCGGGCACTTTTCAAGTGGTCCAGAGGGAGGAAGAAAAATATGAGAATTTCTGATGTGTAATGATTGGCAGCTGGTCTTGAGTCTTTCCCGGCCATATTTAGAGAGATCAGGGGTACTGAACTGGAGCCTCTACTAAACAAAGCAATAAACTACGTAAGTCCCTTTATCAAGAACAAAAAGGCAAGTCAGTATGCACAGATATTTAAAGGTGGCCTCCCCCAAGGGACACATCACTTCTGGAAGATACCTTTCTCAATGTTCTTAATTCTTAAAAAGCCAATATCAATAAATAAAATTACTCAAGGAGAAACTATGGGGGAAGCTATCACACTTCTTCTTTTATGTCCAAAAGGTATTCTGTCACTTAAGTTGGATTTCTGTTGCTCAGCATAGCAAGTCGCAACTAGAGTATGCCCATTGGATTGTCAATTCTTCTACAAGTTCCATTGATTCAATGGTCTCTAGTTGTAGCTTACTCTGCTGGGTAACGGGAGATTAGCCTATTAATTGTAACCAACACTTTAAAAATCCACTACGTGTGCAATGGCCAATTTACTAATTCATTGCATTACCTAAGTCTGAATCTCACCTCATGGACCTAATTCCACCACCATGTAAACAGGTATATACATCTGTGGTTTAAATATTGTATTTTATTGTGTATGAGAAAGTGGGTGGTAATCCACATACACGCATGGAATAAACCTGTTAGTCTTTGAGGTGCCACAATATTTTTAATGTTGTTTTGCTTTGTTCCTTCTTATATAAAAGCACTTAATTTTATCAGCAACAGGCAGTTTGTATTGCATCTAGAATAAATCTGATCAACAGCAAAAGGTCAGAGTATAATTGCAGGATGTAAATTGATACATTTTGTTGAAGCCTGCCTATCTGCCCAATTGTGATTCAATTTTTAAAAATCTTCCTAAGCCCTAGCCTGATTGCATACGTGGTTTTAATAAAGCATAACTTTAACACCTTATGGGCCAGGCTCCCCTTTACTATAGAAGCACATTCTGTTCCTCTAAGGATCATGACCATAAGTTGAACAGAAATGTTATTCCTTCAGTGCCTCCTATCTGCTCTAGTGTCCTACATTGTGAGGGTGCTCTGTTGGGCCAATATGCCCTACCAGCCTGAGAAAAACAGCTTTGCCTTAAGGAGGCTCTACTCTTGAGAAA